ACAGTAAGGAGGTCAGATACAATTATTATCACCCTCATTCATTAGTCATGTATGGCTGCCTGTCATATGGTCAGCACTGAGAACAGAATCCATCATTGCTAGAATCATCATAATTGGATCTCATAGGCAACTACAGTGTTAAGATAAATGACTGTGACAGTTAGGTCCTTGCAATTATCCTAAACCAACTGAAATCAGAGAGGGATCAACAAATATACCTCACTAAAAGATGCATACACCTAGCCTCCACTGATCATACAATTGACAGGAGCCTTGTGCAATGAGTTAGATGCATATGCCTAACCTCCACTGATAATTCAATTAGCAAGACCGTCGTGCAATGAGTTGCTTATGTAGTCATCATAGACTAGTCATCAATGGTCATCGATTTAATGTTTGGCCTTAATCAAGGAAAGTAGGTCTGACGACAGTTCCGAAATCGGCAGTTTCAGTTCCCCCAAACCAGGAACCGGAACCGAACCGACAAGGCTTGATTTTGGAACCAAAACCAAAACCGGCTTTTAAAATATAAAAAAATCATAAATTTATTTTTGAATAATAAAAAATAATTAAAATTAATAAAACCGGTTCCGGTTCCTGAATCGCCGGTTTTGGTTTTCCAAACCTAGGAACCAAAACCGAACCGCCTAGGGTTGGTTCCGGTTAGTTTGGAATTGGCGAACCGTCGAGTCGGTGCGGTTCGAGTTCAAACCGAATCGTGGTCGGGCCTAATGGAAAGGAACCTTGAGAAGTGTTGCTAACAGACCTTTTAGGATCACATGGTAGGATGAATTGCCATCATATGCTATTGGTCTAGTTGAATTGGAACTGGGCAAAATTGTTCTTGATGCAAGAGTAAAGCCATCATGTGGATGGACAGCAAACAGCTTTTCTGTGCCAGGATTATTACTGAATTTGATAGTTATGCCGAGTTTGCTTTGTGAATGATGGAAATAAATTGAAGTGCAAGTCAAACTTCTGCGAAGCATTCATGCAAAATTATGCACAGGCTTGTCAATAAATTTTGGTATTCTACAGTGTGCAATAACTTATCGCTTATTGGATATGGACTTAAAACTGTGTAACATGTACTTTTGATATAATTGCATAATTTTGTATAATATATAGATGATATGACGTAGATATGTTAATAAGTTAAAAATCTAATGTTGGTGATAATTCTCTTGTGGATCGCATTGGATATGCAGATTGTTCTGATTAGTTTTGTTCATAAATGTTGGTTGTCAGTTAATGATTTCTTGAGTTCTTTGTGCATGTGTATAATCTCACAATAACCTGTTACTAAAAACAGAACATATTTGTTATGTTCTGCACCTTTTGCATGCACTTGGCATTTACTTTAACATGTATTTTAACTAAATATTACAATTCTATCATGGACTTCATTTTCCTCATACCTTTCTTTATGATGATTTAAATTTTATATTGATAAGGATAAAAATATTGTGACTGGTAGAAAAGAACAAAAATAGTGGCCTCTCTTTCCATTTAGGCTTCCGAAGTTGTACTACCTAATCATAGAGGAATTATGCTATGAATATACTACCAAAATAGGTACTGTCTCATAATAACAGTTCCCCTGTATAAGTTTTGCCTAATAAAATATTTCTGGTTTGAACCTTGTTTTGTTTTGTTTTTCTCCTCAGGGCATGGGGGAAGTGATGGGTTGCATGGATATGTTCATTCCCTTGATTACGCAGTTAGTGACTTGGTATGATATTTTAACCATGGTGCCATGTCTTCTATATGCAGTTTTGTTTTTCTGTATGATTAGGCAGGCTGACAATTGTTTTTCTTTTTTCTTTTGTGGAAAAAAGAAAGCATTTCTAGAGAAGGTTTTGGCTGAGAATTCTGGGATTCCTTGCTTTTGCTATGGACACTCAACTGGTGCAGCTATTGCCCTTAAGGTAAGATGTGTTGAAATGTCAGACATTATTTTGGTGTTGACTATGTGGAAAAATCATCTCATTGACTTAAATGTATTTTGAACTATTCTTTCACCATGAATATTTGAAGGCAGCTTGTGATCCAAAAGTAGAAGGCTGGATTAAAGGTATCCTGTTGACATCACCTGCTGTGCATGTTCAACCATCCCATCCAATTGTAATGGTTAGTATTGTTTTGATCTGCCTGCACATTACTAGAAAAAATATTGTCAACTTGATTATATACTACGTGGACACCACATTATATATGTTGGTATTAATGCAGCTACTACTGTAGGGTTTCTAATATTTAGGAAGCCATTGTCAAAGAATCTTTTACTAAGGGCTTACTTTGTGACTCGGTGATTATATCTGATAATGATCATGCTCTAAGAAGTAATCATCTCTGCCCACCTGACTCCAATATCATTTGGGTTTCATGTGTTCCTAGAATGTTCACTCTGTTTCTTTCCTAAAATAGGTTACTTTTCTCTAAACTGTCATATAAAACTAGAACAATAAACTTATTTTGTCAATATGAAGAACACACACCCGTTAATATTTGTTTGATGCCATATTTTTTATGACTAGTTTCTATTAGTAACTTTGAAATAAGAAAAGCTGGTTGTGTAGAATGCATTTAGATATGATACTGCTGCAAGTATGTTCAGAGTAAGAGAAAGAAATGGTGCATCAGTCCGCAGCCAAAATATTGAGCTTGTGGCATCCTTACCTTATTAAAAATATGAAACATTGTATGTGGAAACAGTAAGAATCTGGTCAAAAAAATATTAAAAAAAAATTGACTCGAGTATTCTTTTCTACCTCCCTTTTGATTGGTATAATTGATCTTTGTTTTCTATTAAAACCACTGAATCATAGTATATTTATGAAAAATTTAAGGTATTCGATACGCTGCTTTGTTTCGAGGAAAAAATCAGCAGATTATATCCTTTCATTCACCTCTGCCAGTTGAAGAAATTATATATGTTCTTGCAAACAGCAAATAAAAAATGATAATACATTGTTATTGGACATCTTGTTTGTGGTGAATATTTGATAATGGTTGACTGTAGGTGTAGATGTAGTATTTCACATAACAAATGCAAGTTTGTGTGCAGAGTCTCAATGAATAATGTTTCTTTAGTATACTTCCAAAAAAACTGTTGTGAGTTTTGTTTGTAGAAGATGATAATATGACCTGGGAAATTATAAGCCATAATTCTTATGTTTTTATTTTGATAATTTCTGTTACCATATAGATCCAGGGAATTCTTATGTGTTTTAAATTGATATTCTGATGCAAATTGGAATTGGTAAGAGATGTTATTTTAGTTATCATATATGACATACATTTAGTCCTAAAGATTATATGGCTACTCATTGTGATGGTACTACCAAAATAAAAATGTCAAGGTCTGATGGTTATCTATTTGCACCTTTTTGTTAGTTTTAAAATTTTGAGATAAGATATGGTGAAGGTCTTTGATCATCGTTACATTACCTGTATCAGGTTCTGGCCCCTGTTTTCTGTCTCGTAGCCCCAAAGTACCAATTCAGTGCTGCTAATGGCGTATCACCCGTTTCCCGTGATCCTGAGGCCCTCAGGTCCAAATACTCTGATCCATTGGTTTTCACTGGTTCTATTAGAGTTAGGACTGGATGCGAGATCCTACGCTTGTCAACCTACCTGCTACAGAGCCTGTACAAAGTTAACATCCCTTTTATGGTTCTCCATGGTACTTCTGACACACTAACCGACCCTGGAGGTTCGCAAAGGCTATTTGATTTGGCTTCCTCGACAGATAAGTCGATCAAACTGTATGACGGGCTCCTACATGACCTTCTAATTGAACCCGAGGGAGATAAGATCATGCAAGACATGATCGATTGGTTGAGCTTCAGAGTTTGATAGTTTGTTCGTGCTCAGACAAGCAGACTCAGATGAGCAATGTGCTAAAATGACGATGCGGCGCTAAGTCCTAGCCAATTGTTGTCGAAAAGATAATACTTCAATGCAGCCAGTCGCTAACCAGCTGAAGATTATGATGTTGTCATAGGAGATTGAAAAATCATCTGATGTCCCCTTTCTGGTGTCGATGCATCAGCCAGGATACTAATTATTGTAATGCTATTTCGCCTGGAGCATAGGAGGGATGCCTCGTGATGTATCTTCTTTCATGTAAACAGTTCAAGTCCTTATGATTGGATTAATCTGCTACTCATCTTCATTGTAAATTGTGCTTTGTAAATTATGATTATATATAGTATATATATATATATATATATATATATATATATATATATATATATATATTATATATATTTATTTATTTATTTGAGAGGGAGACAGGAAGATTAATCCTCGGAGGGTGCCGAGAGGGAGGCCCGATAGAGATAGATATGGGGATAGATGGATATGAAGATGGATTTCTTATATGAATCGTGACGAATTGTAAGAAGAGGACTCGTTAGCTGTTATAGTGTTGGGATGCTTGTCTCTGATTGGATTACTAGGATGTGGAGTAGTTTTAGTGGTGGAATAGACCTCTACAATCATAAAATGGGGAACAACTAACCTCTTCTGCGACTATGGATCAGGTGTATCGTAAGAAGCACGGACACGGAACACAACACTAATGTGAATAAGATTTAATTAATATACATTTTATAGTATTTAGACTTAAATTTTATAAATTTAATAATATGAAAAAAATAAATATCATCATACAAGTTAAAACAATTAAAAAATCTAAATTTAAGCATCCAAAATAAAAATTTATTATATCAAATAATATGTTTGATAATTTTCGAATATAATTGATATATGTTTTCTTATGACGGTTGTGGGAAGAAGTCGTTGACGTTCTGGTTAGCCCGACGTGGTTCGGACCCATATGAGGTGCCTCTAAGATGAAAACGTCAAGCTCTTGATGTGCCACTTGCATGAAGATCGAGGTCTGAAGATTTTTCCCAACCCGATCTCTCATATGCCCAAGTTAGTAACCCAAGGTAGGTGAGTGTAGGCGTAAGTAGTCAAAAAGTGATTCTCTCTTTCATTGTATTGAGGATGAGTTTTTATACTTGATCGTAAAGGGATAGAATATTCCACGGGGAGACAACCTCTAATTGCTTCCAACAACCTCCCCTTAGCCTTTTATCCATGTGAGCGACAAGAGGAGGGACAGTTTATAACCGTCTATCCTAGACCCTTCTGTACTTGGACAGACAGACGAAGGGTGGCCTTTGTCTTCTCCTTCCATCCTGGATACCACGTTGAAGCCATGTGTCGGGTGATTATTGGCTGATGATTCTCTCTCTATCATTTGTCTCCCATAAGGTGTGCTTTAGGGGCTCTCGCTAGAGGGATCTAAAGTACGACGTCTAATTCAACCAATATGTTAAGCATATATCTTCTCGATTATTCTTCGACTTTGAGCATTAGACGAACACTTATGGGGTCGAGGGGAATCCGATCTATGCCTCGAATTGATGACCTTCATCCCTCGATAAGATGTCGCTCCTCACAAGGCAAATCCTCAATAGTAGATCAATCCTTGTCGAAGTGAAATAGACCTTTCTTCAAGCATGGGTGTTGAAAGTAATAGGGATCGGTTCCCCAACTTCCGTAGTTTGATAATGGTGAGAAGGGAGGGTTGGGTGCCCGACCTCCATATCTCTGATGGGTTTAGGGGTTAGGTTTCCTGACCTCTCTGATTCGATGAGGACCGCAGGTGAGGGGTGCGAGGGCTATTGTCGAGTTTGTCAACTCCATGTGGTAGGTCGAAACCACCACCCTTAGTCTATTTAGTGTGGATCAGCCTATGATCATATTATACACCAAGGGGATGTTCACCACCATGAACTTAGCTATTATTATATTGGAGCAATGCTCGTCTCCAAATGTGATGTGCAGATTCATAGTCCCAAGAGACGTGATAGATTTGCCAATGAACACCATCAATGAAGAAGTTATAAGGGTAAGGTTGTTAGTTAATAACCTAAGATTTCAGAAAGCATCAAAATAAAGGATATCAACAAAGCTGTCGATCGTGATCCTATTTAGTCAAGTATTGATCATCCTCACATAAACCCCTAAGACATTATTATTATTATTATTTGGATTAAGGTATTCTTTCTCTTTCCTCTTGAAGGTTAACTCTAGATAGTCCTCCATCCTTGGGCGTTTTTCAATGGTAGCTCAAATATAAGCCTTACAACCCAAGGGACTATCTCCCTACACCTCGGGACAAGTCCACCAATGATAACATCAATTTATTTTTCCATCAACCCATAAGGTTGAAGTGAGGGTTCCTAGTGGTTTCGGACGAACTACCTGAGGTGTCCCCGATGTATGAGCTTTTCAATCTGTTCTTTCAAGTCATGATAATCCTTCATGTCATGATTATAATCCAGCGGAACTGTAGTATTTGGACCTATCTCTTTTTGCCAATGAGATCTTCATTAGGTGAGGGTCTTTTAATAGATTATTCTCTTTTATCTGTATAAAAAATTAGTTTTAGTCATATTTATGGGGTCAACTCAGAACATGAGCAAAGTAATTATAGTCATTTGTTTCTCTTTCGTCGTGGTGAACTTAGGGTCATGGTTGATTATAGCCACTCTTGCTTTGGTCTCTTGTATAACTCCTCACGCTTGCCCAAGGCTATTGCCTCGACGGTGATATATTGATTAGTCTTTTTAAGTGCTTTTAGTATAGCTATTGGTGGTCTCTCTATCAATAATTAGAAGAAATGAGAGGGTTTTAGCCTCATCATGAAGGTATGTCTTTTGAGTGATGGATGAGAATCTAGCACGCTTCGAATCTTACTCGTGAATTGAGTGACAAAGTCTGTGAGAATTTCTTCCTTGCCTTGCTCGAGTCAAATGAGTGTTGCTGCTGAAGGCCACGGGCATATGTTCTCCAAGAAGTGAAGTTTGAACTCCCTTACAAGCTGGGCAAAAGAACTGATGGAAAATGATTTTAGGCAAACATATCATTCTCATGCTAAGCCTTTTAACATAGTTAGGAAAGTGTGACATATCAAGGCATCCGAAGTATTATACAATGATAGTTGAACACAAAAAGTTACAATGTGCTTCATCGGGTTAGCATTACTACCAAATGCCTCCAAGGACGAGAGATGAAAGTTCACTAGAATTGGTTTCTTCTAGATTTTTTGGATGAACAGCGATCGTCTCGAGGTGGGGTCGACCAGCCCTTACTCTTTTGATTGTTGAAACTCTTGTAACATTTCCTTCAAATGTCGATTCATATTATAGTAGGATCCGCAAGGAATCCTATGTCAAATCCGTCAACTGAGCCTTAGATTCAAGTAAGATAGAGTAGTAGTGTGATTTGCTGAATTCTACGATTAGGGATCAAAGTGCCCCCTTGGCCGACTGTTCGATAGGTCTTGGGTGTTCTTGGGATGTCAACACCACATCAAGTCAAGAAACTTCAATAAGTGCTAGTGGAGGTGACAATTGAGTTAGGGACCGTGATTAAGTTGGTGGCATTACATGTTGGGCTAATTAGGGCAAAAGCGAAGCAATGACCTGTATCATGTCTATCAACATCTGTACTTACTAAGTGAGATTTAGAAATACCTTGGTAGGGACGAGAATGTGGCTCGGGATCGTCCCTGGGGATGAGAGACCTGGGTCGTTGATTAGGCGCTCATATCACATCAGCGTCTAGGCCGAGGTGGATGGACTTATATGCAAAAAGGGTGGTTGCTGCACCACTTAGATGAAAGTACTATAGGCTAGTGGCAAAACCTCTTCTGGTGCCAAAATGTTACGGGAAGAAGTCGTTAATGTCTTGATCTGCCCGACATAGTCCAAATCTATGTGCATAGTATTGCTTAGGGTGCCTTTAAAGTGGAAACGTCGAGCTCTCAAGGTACCACTTGCATGAAGACCGAGGTCGAGAGAGATTTCTGGACCCAATCCCTTTAATACCCAAGTTAGTAACCCGAGGTAAGTGAGTGTAGATACGAGTGATCGAAAAATGATCCTCCCTTTTATTATGTCGAAGATAAGCTTTTATACCTAATTGTAAAAAGATAAAATATTTCATAAAGAAGTAATCTCTAATTGTCTCTATAACCTTCGCTAAGTCTCTTATTCAACAGATGATAAGGAGAGACAGTTTATACCCATGTGTCTTAGACCCTAATCTAATTTGACAATAATCTTTTATGATCTTTCTCTTTTACCCTTTTTTTCCTTAATATCATATAAAAGTTACACGTCGGAGAACTCCTTAACTTACTATTCTCTTCTTACCAACAGCCATCTTCACATTTCTTTTCTTGTAAAACTTATGTTTCTTGGCCACGCGAATATGGTGTTAGATGTGAGTGTTCGACATGTGTTCACGTTTCCAACATATGTCTGACACGGACACGTCCAGCAAAGCACTTGTCCATGCTGCTTCATCATGATGTGTCCCATCTTCTCCGCAAAGGCCGCCTGGATGCAATATGGATGTGAAGGTGCCAAGGTGTCCACACGTCAGACTCGATGAGAGCCGCATATCCTTCCCTAGTTCGTCGGTACTGGACCCTCACCTAATCGTCTTCTCTGCAGCTCGACTTGTTGCATGACTGCATCGCTTAATGTTCTCAGTAGGTGTCAAGTTCGGCTGGCTCACGGTCGGTCACTCATTACCTACTGCATGAGCTGTAACTTTGATTAAGAAGGATTAGTGGTCATTCCTTGATTTAGTTTGAGTCTTAGATAACACAATGACTGACCCATCAATCAACATATCACAAAATAAAATAAAAGGTATATTGTAAAAAATAAATTACTACTTGTCCAACTTGAACTCATAAGCCGCCGACAAGATTAAGTGACTAATTAATTATGTTTATCTTGTTGAGCCAAGTTGATTTATTGAGATCAAAAGTATCTCTTTTTCTTTTAACTCCTTTCACACAAACTTATACCTTTGTCCTCCAAATGGGTTCGTGCAGTGTGACATGTGAATACTAAGTACACTGTCAGCTAACTTCACTTACCATCTTATTTATGCATCAGATTGCCGTATTTAATTAAATTCTTCACCAATCATGGTTTAGTTTAGGATAAGAGAAGATCTTGTCATACATCATCGTTGGCAACTAGATAGTAGATTAAAGCTAATTAATCTATGTGTCTTGCAGATAACTGGGGGAAGGTGTCCCCCGGAGTGGAAACTTTTAATATCTTTGGTTGC